TCCCCTCCGAGCCACTCACCATCCTGACTTGGAAATGTGTCGCTGGACTGCAGCTTCATTTCTCTTGAGTCAAACTAGTCCTGAGTGCTGTTGCCTGATCAGTTGATGCACCATTTCCTGTTCTATCTCAGTCTGGAATCATCTCAGTAAACAAACAGGAAGGTGCTGGTTCACACTGCAGCTTCAAGCTTCATATCCAAGCATCATCAGGCCATGTCACGTCCACAGCTCAAACACAGGCCCTTCGGCAAAACCGATGCTGTACACTAATGTTTTTCAGACTGTTACAATGCAGGCTATTTGGCCCATTGCATTCGTGCTAGCTCTTTGGAAGATCAATCCAGTTAATGCTCCCACCCTGTCCATATTGCTGCATCTTTTCCCCTTCAAGGGTTTATCTTTTACCCCTTTTGAAAGTTGCTTCCTCCACCCTTTCAGGCTAGATCTCAGTAACACTTTGCATTAAAATAAAAATTCACTCTGTCTAGTTCTCCTGCCGAATGTCTTCAATAAGTTGCTTCCCAGGCTTTAGTGACCTCCCCCAATCAACCTTCCATTCATTGCTCCTTTAGGAACCTAACACACCCTTCAGCCCATCAATGCTAGCCCACATTTTAGCAAGTTCCACAGTCTCCTAATCTAACATCACCTGTGCAAAACGGCCACTGCAACTCTCTCAAGAGGAGCCTGCAGAGCACCTTCTGTCTACTGCCTCCCTCGTAGTTTCCTGCCTCTTTCCAATCACCTTCCTGCGTGAACAGAGGGCCCATTGAGTCCCACCTGGTCCCTTTGTGGACGAGAGGGTCAGTGAACTCAAACTTGCCTGACATTGGCATTGTCATAATGGCCGCACATCCCATCAGCCACCTCTGGAGATGAATGACTGGGCCTGGGAGTCAATCCAACTCCAGTCACTGCCTTTGGCTGGGGGCCACAAATGGTTCCCGAATCATGAATGGAGACATTGTTTAAACAGAAGTGTAGGGACAGAAGCGGAGCTTTCTGCTGGCCAGGAAGTCATTGGCTGTCATCATGCGTTTTTAAGAGGTTCTTTTGTGATGAGTATTTTTTTGCATTTATCTCACGGAGATTTCGTGCTGAGAAATCACATCCGCGAGGAGCTAGGAAGAATTTGCAGCCAAAAGGCAGAGCTGGGTCTCTTCCCCCATCGTTAAAATCAGACGGTTCAAATCTCACTCAGGGCGTAAGACACTGAAAAAAGATGGAGGCCATACTGCACCATCAGGCGTTCACGGGAAGCAACAGCAGTATTGAACAACAGGCCCTTCAAGCCTCCTCCACCATTCAACATAATCATGGCTGATCTTCTATCATTTGATCCTTCAGAAAACAGTTTACAACTGGAGCAGACCCCTTCGGCGCCTCAACCCCATTCTATCCTTCAGCAAGGTCACGGCTTATCGTCTGTTTTGTCTGCACTGTCCCTCAATGTAACAGTTGCACACCCACTGCTCGCTGAAGTAGAGAAAGTCACAATCCTCTTGTGTGAAGAAATTTCTTCATGTCTAATTCCTGAAAAGCCTTCGTCTTGTGTTGAGACTGTAATCCAGCCAGCAGGAACATTTTCTCTGTCAAGCCCCTTAAAACATTTCACACGTTTCAATTCCCCTATAATCCAGTCCAAGTAGGCCCGGTTTCATCTCTTCTCATGGGACAATCCCAGTTTAGTGAGCTGGTCAGCAGTTAACCTGAGACCTTTCCATTTATCTTACATTCAGGGCTCTTAGTTATCACTGGCTGGGTCCACACTTATTACCCATCCCTAATTTCCCTGGAGAAGGTGGTGCCAAGCTGCCTTCTAGAACTGCTGCAGGTCCACCCACAATGCCCTAAGGGAGGGAATTCCAGATTTTTGAACCAGTGACACTGAAGGAACCGCGATATATTTCCAAACTGGGGTGGTCAGTGGTTTGGAGGGGAACTTGCAGGGGGTGATGTTCCCATGTATCTGCTGCCCTTGTCCTTGGAAGTGGTCTTGGGTTTGGAAGGCCAGCTGGTCTGGCAGCACCTGTGGGGAGAAATCAGAGTTAATGTTTCAGGTGGAGTGACCTTTCCTCAGTCACTCTACCTAAAAAGCTAACTCTGATTTCTTTCCACAGATGCTGCCAGACCTGCAGAGCTTTTCCAGCAACTTCTGTTTTTGTTTTTGATTTTTATATTGGGTTTGGAAGGTGCTGTCTGAGGATCTTTGGTGAATTTCTGCAGGGCATCTTGTAGATGGTACACACTGCTGTTACTGAGTGTTGGAGGTGGAGGGAGTGGGATGTTTGTGGATGTGGTGCCAATCAAGCGGGGGCTGCTTTGTCCTGGATGGTGTTGAGCTTCTTGAGTGTTGTTGGGGCTGCCCCCATCCAGGGGCAAGTGGGGAGTGTTCCATCACACTCCTGACTTGTGCCTTGTAGATGGTGGGACAGGCTTTGGGGAGTCAGGAGGTGAGTTACTCCCTGCAGGATTCCCAGCTTCTGACCTGCTCTTGTAGCCGCTGTGTTTATATGATGAGTCTAGTTGAATATCTGGTTAATGGTAACCCCCAGGATGTTGATAGTGGGGTATTCAGTGCCAATCAACATCAAGGGATGATGGTTATATTGCTTCATTTTAGAGGTGGTCATAGCTTAGAACCTGTATTATTTCAATGTTACAAATAGTTACTAAGATGTAGTAATCATTACCTTGTCAACCAAGATATTAGCTTCTTTTGAGATTGATTCACAGGCCATCTTTTACCACAAACTACTTGAAAGCCTCGAGGCTAATATTTGGAGAGCACGGTGGCTCAGTGGTTAGCAATTCCACCCTCGGGTGACTGTCTGTGTGGAGTTTGCACATTCTCCCTGTGTCTGTGTGGGTTTCCTCCGGGTGCTCTGGTTTCCTCCCACAGTCTAAAGATGTGCCGGTTAGGATGGATTGGCCATGCTAAATTGCCCCATAGCGTCCAGGGATGTGCAGGCTAGGTGGGTTAGCCATGGGAAATGCAGGGTTACAGGGATAGGGTCTGGGCGAGGTGCCCTTTGGAGGGTTGGTGTGGACTCAACTCCATGCTGTAGGGATCCTATGAGAGCAGGATCAGTGGCAGCTCTGCAGGAGGGTACCCAGGATTTATCATCACCGTTAGAAACAAAACTGACACCCAAAAATACATGACATTCCCAAATCCAAACGAAGGGCAGGTGATACTGCGTGACGTGTTCCTGTAAACTGTAGTCTGGACAAATCAGATGACCATCAGAATGTGTCCGGTTTGAGCGCAGACTATGTAAGCTGTCACTCTGGTGTAGTAGTGAGGGAGAGCTGCGGTGCACTGTCTCTGGGGTGAAATGTTAAACCGAAGCTCTGACCTCTGCCTCGTACATATGGCACCGTTTCAGGGAAATGCTGGCCAGAACATAGAACAGTACAGAAACAGGCCCTTCGACCCATCATGTCTGTGCCGACCATAATGCCGCTCTTAATTAATCCTATCCACCTGCACATGCTCCATATCCCTCTATTCCCTTGCCTGGTCCTCTGTCTAAATGCCCCTTAAATGTTGCTATCATCTTTGCTTCTACCACCTCGCCCTGGCAGCGTGTCTCAGACACCTACCGTCTTCCTGTAAACCTCCCACATTTCCTTTAAGCTTTGCCCCTCTCAGCTCAAACCTATGCCCCCTGGTTTTTGACATTTACACCCTGGGGAAAAAGACTCTGACTTACCCGCTCTATCCACGCCTTTTGTAATTTTTACATGCTTCGATCAGGCTGCCCCCCCCCCCTCCCACCCTCAGCCCTCCGACACTCCAGCGAAAACAATCCAAGTTTGTCCAACCTCTCCTGGTCACTTAACTAGTCAACAAATATGCAAGCGGCAGGTTGTTATTCCATTGCGTTTTGTCGAGTGCAGACCCAGGATCTATATCTCCTTGATTGCAATCCCTCACAAAATTTACTTTGTCGTTTTTAAAGCTCATTAGTACCCCCACGCCCCCTCTCCCCCACCCCTGAGGCTGTGTGCACGTCAGGTTATTTTTACTGCATAAAAACAGAGAAATGTTGAGTTTTGCTTTGATGGGAACATGGCATTTGTTCAGGAACTGTAACCTGAATCTGCAAAAGTGGTTGGACTGTTCGAAACAATGCTGGCGAACTTCAGTGCACTGGTATCTTATAGTGCAGGGAGTTGACTCCCTTTTTATCTGCTCGCTTACTGACGCACTTACACAGCCTCTCAAGCAAGCCTCAAGTTAAGCTGTCCCTCTCCTGCTTTCTCCGTCTCACACCCCCACCCCCCGCTCCCGTTGGTAGGCAGAGTGCCGCTGGTTTCTGTAACCCCCTATTCTCTGTTGCAGGAAATCTCGCCATGAGTATCAGAGCTCGCTGGGCAGCAAGGCCATCCAGAGGCAGTGCCGGCGGAGAATGACTTGCCCCAGTCCAGCTGAGATCAGCAAGGCCAAAGCCATTATGTCCATGCCTCAGCTCTGCAAGGCTCTGAGCCTGGACGAACTCATTCTGAAATGCGTCCAGTCCTTTGGTAAGTAAGGGCCAGTTTTCAGAGTCTGATCTCAGAGAAATCAGCTGGTTATGTGTGTGTGTTTGTATACACGTGTGTGTGTGTGAGAGAGTGAACGTGTGTGTAGACAAGCAGGAGTGTGTGTTTGTGTGAATGTGTACCTATGTGTGCCTGTCTTTGTGTATGTGTGTGTGTGAGAATATATATGTGTGGTGTGAGCAGGTGTGTGTGTGTGTACAAGCAGGAGTGTGTGTGTATATTTGTGAGCTGGTGTCTTTGAATGTGTGTGTGGGTGAGAGTGTACGTGTGTGTAAGAGAGAGTGAGTGGGAGTGCGTTGTATGTTTGTGTGTGTGAGAGCAGATGTTTGTTTGTGTGAATGTGTGTGTGCATGAGTGGGATTGTCTGAGTGATTGTATGAGGATGTGTGTATGTGTGTGTGTGCATGAACAGGTGTGTATGTGTGAGCAGGTGTTTGTGAAAGTGTGTATGCATGAACGTGTGTGTGTGTGAGAGAGCAAGTGTGTGTGCACGAGTGAGTGTATGTGTAAGCAGGTATGTGTTTGTGAGCTAGTGTCTGTGAATGTCTGTGAACGTATGTGTGAGTGAACAGGACTGTGTTGTATGTGCGTGTACGAGTATGTGGGAGCGGATGTTTGTGTGAATTGTGTGCATGAGTGGGAGTGGCTGTATGTGATGTGTCTCTGTGAGTGAGTACGAGTGTGTGTGTCTGTATGTGTGAGACTGTGTCTGTATGTGTGTACATGTGTGTATGCATGTGTGTGTGTGTATGAGACTGATTTTATTTAAAATGTAATTGTGCATTGCTTAGAAAAGGAGCTGAATCAATGTATCAGAGTTGTGGCTATCTGGAGAGGGGAGAGAGAAAAGGGGCAGACCACATTCACAGAGAGAAAACAGCTCAAAGCTTTCATGTTTGACTAATTATTAACAGAAGCTTTTAAACTGGTCCGCGACTGGGCACACTTTGCAAATTAACATTCTTGCAAAGTACGGCCAGAGGCTGGGGAGATGTATAACTTTGAAAAGCTGCAGTGCAGAGGTCTGTCAGTTTCCTCTCGTTTCTCCATTCCCCAACAGAGCTGGACTCTGCAGAGGTGAATATAGAGAGGTGCACTCGGTTATCTGGAGCTCTGCAGGGACAACGGGTTAATAGAGCTGGCTAAAGTTTGCAGTTCGAGTTGGTTTGTCATGAAGATTGTTGTCTTTTCTCAGGGATTTCAAACCCTGGATTATTTCCCATGGCCGTTGGATTTTTATTTTCACACGCAGTCAGTTGTCTGATAATGTAACAAAAAATGTTTTGTTGAGGATCTGTGCGTAAGGTAATGGTTTCAAATTAAATCATTTCTTTTAGGGACCCATTTTCCAAGCAGTATCATTTTAGAAAAATAAACTTGCATTACCTTTCTCTTTATTATATCTTCAGACATGTAAAGGTGCCTTTTTACAGTCAAGTAGTTGCTGTTCCCTTGGCAAAAGCTTATAGTGAGTGGGGAAGTGAGAGTATAAGGTAATATGAGGAGACAAATTTTCAGGAGACATGGGTTCAAATCCCACCTTGGCTGTGGGTGGAATTTGAAATTCAATTCATAAATCTGAAATTGAATGCCAGTCTTATTAATGATGACCACAAAAGTATCATCGATTTTTGTTGAACACATATTTCGTTCACTAATGCCTTATAGGGAGGGAATTCTGCCATCCTTACCCCAGTCCAGCCTACACGTGTCTCCAGACCCACAGCAAAGTGCCTGACTCTTAGCTGCCCCCTGAAATGATGGAACAAGCCAGTTTGAGGGCAACTAGGGTTGGGTAATAAATGCCAGCCTTATCAGTAACACACAGAATGAAGAAGTCAGGACTTTATTTCATTTGCTGAGGGACTAGATTTTTAGATTGCAAGTTTCTTTTGAATTTCAAGAGGTGCACAGCTTTTTGTCATTTATATAAATGATTTGGATGTGAACGTTGGAGGTATGGTTAATAAGTTTGCAGGTGATACCAAAATTGGAGGTGTAATGGACAGCAAAGAAGATTGGGACCTTTATCAGTTGGGCCAATGGGCTGAGGAATGGCAGATGGAGTTTAATTTAGATAAATGTGAGAGGTTGCATTTTGCAAGGCTAACCAGGGCAGGACCTATATAGTTCATGGTAGGGCCATGGGAAGTGTTGCTGAACACAGAGACCTAGAAGTGCAGGCTCATAGTTCCCTGAAGGTGGAGTCACAGATAGACAGGATAGTGAAGAAGGTGTTTGGCATGCATGCCTTCATAGGTTAGTGCATTGAGTATAGGAGTTGGGAGGTCATATTGCAGCTGTACAGGACATTGGTTAGGCCACTTTTTGGAATACTGCATTCAATTCTGGTCTCCCTACTATAAGAAGAATGGTGTTAAACCTGTAAAGGATGCAGAGAGGATTTACAATGATGTTTGCTGGGGTTGGTGGCTTTGAGCTATAGGGAGAGGCTGATTAGGCTGGGGCTTTGTTCCTTGGAGTGTTGGAGGCTGAGGGGTGATCTTATAGAGGTTTATAAAATCATGACGGGCATAGATAGGATGAATAACCAAGGTCTTTTTTTCCTATTGTGGGGGAGTCCAAAACTAGAGGGGTAGAGGTTTCAGATGATAGGGGAAAGATTTAAAAGGGGACCTCAGGGGTAATGTTTTCACACAGAGGGTGGTGCGTGTATGGAATGTGCTGCCAGAGGAAATGGTGGAAGCTGATACAATTACAACATTTAAAAGGCATCTGGATGGGTTTATGTATAGGAAGGGTTTAGAGGGATATGGGCCAAATGCTGGAAAATGGGACTAGGTCAGGTTGGGATGGATGGTCGGTACTGATGATTTGGATCAAAGGGTCTGTTTCCATGCTGTATGTCTCTAAGAGGTTTATAGAGACTACTTTTTTTTTTAATTGTCTCTAGTGACTGCTCTTTCTCCTTCTCTCTCCGTCTCCCTCTATGATCTGCGTCTCAGAACACGGGCTTGACTCTAAGTCTGCCTTGCGGCCTCGAGTAGGCAAAAGGTGGATGTTGGAAAATGCATTCAGTGACTCCTATTCCTCTCACTTGTGTAAGTTCATATCTCAGCCTGGCTCAGTGTTTCCCTGGCCGCCTGGTTGAGATGTCAAACCCACTCACACAGTCGTGGGACTGAAATTCCAACATAATCTCCATTTGCCAGGCCCAAGTTATATCATTGTCCAGTACCTCCCCTGCCTCAGCTCCTCTGCTGCTGGAGATCCTCAGCTGTAGGTTTGTTAATCTTCCTTAAACCATTCCCTCACTCTTGAAAATCTGTCAGAATTCAATCTCCCTGTTAGCACTTTTCCGTCCAGCTTCAACTCCTCATTTGGTTTCGTTGGCAGCACAAAATTATCCTGCCAACATTTTCATTGTTCATGGGCTAAACCAGATCCACAGCCACCAGTACTGACCATCCTGGCGATGCGAAGGAGTGGCCTGAAGTTGGCGCCTGAAGTTTTCAAGTGATGTGGGCCCTGATTATTTCCTTGGGCAGCTTATTCCATTGTGGGATTGTCTTTGGGAAGAAAGGTCATTGAGAGACTATCTTGGAAACTCATGGTCTTTGTATTTTGTGTGAATGGCTACCTCATGTTTTGGTCATTGACGGAAGATACCAAGTCCTTGTTTCTGTCAATTCCCATCAGCCCTTTCCCAGAACACCCGCAGTCAATTGCTCCCCACTTTTCTGTCGTGGTACCATTGCTCAGGACGTACCACTGGTATATCACCCTCTCACCATCCCGACTTGGAAATATATTCCCATTCCTTTAGTGTCACTGGGTCAAAATCCTGGAATTCCCTCCCTAAGGGCATTGTGGGTCAACCCACAGCACATGGACTGCAGCGTTTCAAGAAAACAGCTCACCCCCACCTTCTCAAGGGGCATCTAGAGATTAGCTATAAATGCTGGCCTTGCCTGTGGTGCCCAAACAAAACACAAACCACTACTTTGTACAGCACATCTTTGGATCACTTCAATCGTATTTATGTCTCCCACTGTGAAAGGATCCCACACTGAACTTACATCCTAACCCTTACCCTAACCCTAACCCCTCCCCCCACCCCATCCCAAAACCA